GATAAACAAACATGCTGGGAGACAGAGACATTAAGGCCCTGTTTCATATTTGACATATAGTGGGTAATTTGATATTCACCCAAAAAGGTTATCCAGAGGAAAGCTTGTGCTTATTGTTCATGAAGCTCTGAGGCACTGGGAAGGAAGTAGGTCATGTGGCCAGAACAGTCTTTTGATTTATTAATTCTTCAGCAAATTTCAGGAAACATAATCTATTACTGATCAAAAGATCCGGTTCCTAAATGAGGAAGAGTTGGATTTTCAGAACATAAAAATCACATGGGAACAACCCCCCTCCCTGCCAGAAGCTATGATTCAGTTTGGAATACTAGAAAACATCATCACGGGCTCACTTGAGAGGGAAACTGTCTACATCTGGTGATCCAAAAACAAGAACACATATAATTATCTCCTCCAATGAACACCATAAGCAGATGATTCCACTATGAAATTCTGGCGAAAAAATATGAAAATGCTATTAATGAAAGACTATGAAGTCTTTGGCTTCCCTGGTGGCTCAGTGGTAAAGAATCCACCTGCAATGCGGGAGACCTGGGTTTGATCCCTGGGTGGGGAAGATCCCCTGGAGAAGGGAATGACTACCCACTCCAGTACTCTTGCCTGGGAAATCCCATGGACAGAGGAGCCTGGAGGGCTACAGTCCATGGGGTCGCAAAAGTCTGATACAAATTACTGACTGCACCACCACCACCATGAAGACTTTGTCCAAAGGCAAGAAGATCCTACATTTTGTGCCAAGGCTGCAGCTCACCAAAGATATGAAGCAGCTGTCAAATTCTGTAAACAGAATCCTGCTCTTTCAAGGTCAAGGAACTCAGTGTGAAGTTGAGGTTTCACTCAGGTCCTCTCCTGTGAGATTCTCCAGCCTGCCCTAATCTGAATGGAAAATAGCAAACGTCTTCAGCCTTTCTCCCTTTTCAAGGGTTGTTGGTGAGCCTGGTGTCTACAACCGAGCCAACTCTGCAGAAAACCATGGTTTAGATGGAAAAAGCACTTTGGGTTTCTGGCTCATCAGCAGTTCTGCACATCTAATTAGCTCAACAATTGGTCCCTGTGATAAAATCAGCTAGTTTTATGTTCAAATGGCTGCTCAGTGGTAAGCAGTACTGTCACTCTCAACTTTGCATGGCATAAAGAAGTTGCTGAAGAAGCTGGTTACTAGCGGGTCACTGGGGGCAAACTAGTGAAGACTATTAAATTAGTAACCTGAGTCAACAATGTTATATGGTTAGTGCAGGGGGTGTCCCGCCAGGGTTCAAATAAGATGATCCCCCCTCCCAGGTGCAGTGACAGGGCCACCAGAAATGCTAGCTCTTACAGGAGAAAACAGTACATATAAAATGACAGAACTCCATCTTCAGAACCTCCCCACTCTCAGAGGTAAACCCAAAAGTTTGTGATAAGATAGATTACGAGTCCTAGACCCTCATCCAGTATTGTTAAGAATAACTCTCCCAGATTAAAGACCCCTGCTGCTTCAGGGATCTGTCCAAGGGTTACCCTGGAGAGGAAATGCTGGAAGCCAAGCCTCTGCTCTTTCACTGACCTGTGAGAAGGCAGCCTGTGACATCTGACTCTGTCTCCCTACTGAGTGGACCTAGTAAAGACCACAGTGTTCTTCTTTAAGGTAAACATAAAAGCACAGATCAACTTCTATAGGGTGTAAAAGCTAATTACACCCACCTCTCACTGGCACTGTGAATTACTGATTTTTCTATTTTCCTTTTCTGTGTGTATTAATCAATTATACCAATTAAATGGACAGTTGGAAAATGATACGAGCTTCAAAATTAGAAACAAGAAGCATGGGTGCATATAATTTTATATAAAGACACAGAGAGATATATTCATACCTATATCTAAACATATCCATTAGATCCATTATATCTATAGATCCATGATATGTATGTATGTTTATAGAGTCAGAGATATAGAAATGGTTCCATTTATATAAAATGCTTAAAACAGTAATTATCATGTAGTAAGTAGTCAGTACTGTTGTTGCTGTTGTTATCAATATCATATATACACAGATATATCAACCATCAGTTCAGTTCAGTCGCTCATTTGTGTCCAACTCTTTGTGACCCCATGAACCACAGCATGCCAGGCCTCCCTGTCCATCACCAACTCCCAAAGTTTACCCAAACTCATTTACATTGAGTCGGTGATGCCATCCAACCATCTCATCCTCTATCGTCCCCTTCTCCTACTGCCCTCGATCTTTCAGAGCATCAGAGTCTTTTCAAATGAGTCAGCACTTCACATCAAGTGGCCAAAGTATTGGAGTTTCAGCTCCAACATCAGTCCTTTCAATGAACACCCAGGACTGATCTTTAGGATGGACTGGTTGGATTTTCTTGCAGTCCAAGGGACTCTCAAGAGTCTTCTTCAACACCACAGTTCAAAAGCATCAATTCTTTGGTGCTCAGCTTTCTTTATAGTCCAATTCTCACATCCATACATGACTACTGGAAAAACCATAGCCCTGACTAGATGGATCTTTGCTGACAAAGTAATGTCTCTGCTTTTTAATACGCTGTCTAGGCTGGTCATAACTTTCCTTCCAAGGAGTAAGCGTCTTTTAATTTCATGGCTGCAATCACCATCTGCAGTGATTTTGGAGCCCCTCAAAATAAAGTCAGCCACTGTTTCCACTGTTTCCCCATCTATTTCCCATGAAGTGATGGGACCAGATGCCATGATCTTAGTTTTCTGAATGTTGAGCTTTAAGCCAACTTTTTCACTGTCCTCTTTCACTTTCATCAAGAGGCTCTTTAGTTCCTCTTTGCTTTCTGCCATAAGGGTGATGTCATCTGCATATCTAATGTTATTGATATTTCTCCCGGCAATCTTGATTCCAGCTTGTGCTTCTTTCAGCCCAGTATTTCTCATGATGTACTCTGCTCTCTATATCTCTGCATATTACATAACTCAACAATTGTAGCAGGATGCCTGCTAAAGCCAGACTTGTTTGCTCTAACAGAGGAGCCAAAAAGTCACTAAATCATAGCAAATTATCCTGGAGACTGCAGTCAGCTGCCTGGCCTGGACCAGGCGGCGGCAGGTGAAGGACCCTTTGCATATCGTCACACCAGCCACTTCTCGTGCACCAGCTCAGATGCCCTTGGCCTCGCCTCTCTCTTCCCTGCAGCTCCCGGACACTGCAGGACAGACCACTGCTGTTGGGCAGAGGGTTGTATGGCGGCAGTGGTCTAGAGTCAAGACTCTCTGGAGTTTAGCCACTTTGCCAGGACAGAAGTACTGGACTTTCTACTCATCTGTCACTATAATTTAGAACCAGTTTTTATTTACATATAAAAATAAAAGAGACGTGACATTATTTGTCCTCTGATCTGGTGATCAAGCAATTCTACTTGGTTACATGAACCACAGTGGATATCTCGATGTTGGGGGCACAGAAGAGCCAAATTTTTATTTTTGAAATAGACCCCACTTTTAAAAGCCAAGGCTGTGATCCATGAAGGGGATATATGTATATGTAGGAATGTATTTAATTCCCATGTGCTTACGTATAGAACATTCAAAGAGCACTAGGTTAGAAAAACTATCAAGATTATTCATTGATTAACATTGAACAAAATTGTTCAAGATTAACATTCCCCCAATCTACAGAAGTAATGGAGAAATTATTGAAATAAATAACACTTAATATCTACATTTTACTTCATATGTCTATCAGTTATCTAAGATCAATGTGGGTTCTACTCAAAGCTAAGGATAGAAACCATACTGGGGTAGAAACCAGACTATTACATGTAAGTTAACCTCTTTATCATCGTGTGCGGGGCACTAATCTTTTGACCTTAACATCTTCAAGGTGAACATGAGAAGATCAACTCATTTTGAGATAGTCTAGAGGGAAATTAATATTCTTCTGGAGTTTCTTAGTATCACTGTTTATACCTTAAGAGATTGTGAATCATTATATTAGGAAATCAATATTATGGCACTAATTATATGTTACTTTTAGTATTAACAACATAACCTTTATAATTAAATATAGTGAGATTAAACCAAATAGAACGAACTGTTAAGTTTTGTTTGGGGCTGGTTCTCTGTTAAACCCGCCACCATGTCTCATCTGCCCTAGGCACTTCTCTAACCCAGCTCTCAAGTGCTACAGTTCTGCAGGCCCTAAGCCTCCTCTCTCATCATGCATTACTTTTCTCAAGTGATGGTGTCAGCAACCAAGGCTTCATCTACCAAACTGAAGTTGAAATCCCAACAGTAATATGGGCTACCATCTGTTGAGCACTTTGCTACGCTCTGTGCTTCACAAACATCAACCCAGTTAACAGTCATAATTATGTGTCCCCCAAAAAGATACGCTGGAATCCCAACTACCAGGACCTCAGCATGTGACTTCCCCTGGAGACATTAACAGAGATGATAGAGCTAAACATGGTCATTAGCTAAGGCCCTGACCTAACGTGACTGGAGCTGTCATAAATGGTATTAATTTGGACCCGGAAATAGACGCACATAGAGCCGATGATGAGAAGACAGGGAGAAGACAGCCGGCTACAAGCCCAGGGGAGAGTCCCTGAGCAGATTCAGTCCTGCCAACACTGTGACTTTCAACTCCCTGTGATTCAGCAGAGCCGTGAGACCACGGATTTCTGCTGTTTAAGCATCCCATCTGTAGTGCTTTGTCATGGCAGCCCAAGCAGATTAATACAGAAAGAAGAAAAAGAGAGAGAGAGACTCAGAGAGAGAGAGAGACTCAGAGAGAGAGAAATTTGTTGTCAAGTTGTATATTCATCTGGATGATCTGACTTTAAGAGACATGCATAAGAGCACATGCTTGCCATTTCTGTCTCCATTCTATGGGGCAGAAAGCCTCTATTCCATGAGGCTGATAGAAACTTCCCAAAACATGCAAATGGAACGCAGGTCCAGGTGCCAAGAACCAGACTCTTCCCCCACAGGTGGCCTGGGAGGGAGATGGGACCTACCTTCTGGTAGTCCTCTTTGGACCACAGGGCTGCCCCCATGTGCTCGGCGGAGGTCGGGTAGATGGCGGAGCGGTACTGAGAGCCGTGGTCGTTGCCTTGGCGCATGCCTGGGGAAGTGGAAAGCATAGGGTTACTGGGGTGGCCCGGGCCACGAGGCCAGTGTCAGACGTCCTTCAGGACTCACGTCCTGCTAAGTGCTCATTTCAATTTCATCCTGGCACAACTCTCCTTGAACAAGCAGGCAACATATCTGTTTTGCTTTGCCTGTTTTAATTATAATGTATCTTTGCTTAGGAAAATTTACCACGGGTCTCGCATCATAGTAGATGCTCTACAAACACACATTCTTCCATGCACATACTGAAGTCATAACCATTTTTCGATTGTGAAGCACTGTGGTAACACACTGTTTCTGTGGATTCTAATGAGACACTGTGTGGCAGGTGGTACCATCCCTTGCTTGGCAGATAAGGAAATGGAATAATATGCATAGAAGTGCCTGGCATGGTGCCCTACACACAGGAGATGCCTAATAAATGACAAAGTGACTGATGTTCAATGGGTTTAAAGAGTTTGCCTAAGGTCACACACCCAGTCACAGGAAAACCTGGCATTTTCAAGTCAGCCCAGTGCACTTTCCACAGTCACAGCAGCTCAAGTGTAGCTAACGGGAGCTCAAGGTCAATGTCTTAACTGAACGATGGAGTCCCCATCTTACACTGCCACCGGCCTGTCAGAGATCCCCTACAGATCCCCATGCTGCTGAGAAATGAACTTCACACACATTTACTGTGTCACTGAAGCATCAGTTTCAGTTTTAACAAGTGACCCCAAACTCCTCCTATAAGAGATGCAACCTTCCTAAAGCGACAGTGCCACGTTCCCGAGCCCCCAGCGTAGGTGCTGCTCCCGTTGCTGTTTCATTGCTCGGTCATGCCCGACTCTGCAACCTCATGGAGAAAAGCCCCCCAGGTTCCTCCGTCTCTGCCCGTGGCATTCTCCAGGCAAGAACACTGGGGCAGACAGCCATGCCCTCCTCCAGCCAGCTTAGGTGACTTCCTAGAAATCCCATTCTCCCACTTGTGGAACCCCCTCCTCTCCTCCACATACAAAGGTCACAAGGGGAATCAGGACCTCATTATTAAAAAGCCAATATCAATAATGACATTGAAATATTAATTTAACATTGCATACTAAAAATTAACCATCCCATGCCTCCAATAAGCACCAAGTAATATAGTCCATCCTAAAGGAGATCAGTCCTGGGCGTTCACTGGAAGGACTGATGCTGAAGCTGAAACTCCAATACTTTGGCCACTTGATGCAAAGAGCTGACTCATTTGAAAAGACACTGATGCTGGGAAAGATTGAGGGCAGGAGAAGAAGGGGAAAACAGACGATGAGATGGTTGGATGGCATCACCAACTTGATGGACATGGGCTTGCGTATACTCCAGGAGTTGGTGATGGACAGGGAGGCCTGGCATGCTGAGATTCATGGGGTCGGAAGGAGTTGGACACAACTGAGCGACTGAACTGAACTGAATATCAAATTAGGCTATATATTTCATTTCTTTGTAAGTTATATATTCATTTAAGTATTACAGTGGTGGTACTATAGTGTAGATACATATTAGTAGGAGCTTCCAAGGTGGTGTTAATGGTAAAGAATTCACCAGCTAATGCAGGAGACAGACACTGCTTTGATCCCTGGGTCGGGAATATCCCCTGGAAAATGGCATGGCAACCCTCTCCAGTATTCCTGCCTGGAGAATCCCATGGACAGAGGAGCCTGGCGAGCTACAGTCCATAGGGTCGCACAGTCAGACACAACTGAAGCGATTTAGCATGCACCAACGCATATATTATTATTTATAGTATATGATATGTATGTATTATTGTAAATGTTACTGAAGAGACTGTGTAAGAGAGTTGATAAATATACATTCCAGAATGTTCTCTGTCTTCTTCAGTTGTCCCTCCTCCTCTTACAAGTAGGGCTTCTCCAGTGTGACTACATCCCACACTTTTGTCCTAACATCCGTTTGCATAATGGCAGGATGGTAGCATCACTGTTCCTTCCAAAATATTCCTGTGAAGAAAAAACATTGCCAGATGACTGATTTTTAAATCAAGACAGATCCCTCTCCATGGAACACAAGATGCAGAAAACCAGGTTCTCCACCTGTCAGTCAGTCAGTTCAGTCGCTCAGTCGTGTCTGACTCTTTGCAGCCCCACGGACTGCAGCACGCCAGGCCTCTGTCAATCACCAACTCCCGGAGGTTGCCCAAACTCATGTCCATTGAGTTGGAGATGCCACCAACCATCTCATCCTCTGTCACCCCCTTCTCCTCCTGCCCTCAATCTTTCCCAGCATCAGGGTCTTTTCAAATGAGTCAGTTCTTTGCATCAGGTGGCCAAAGTACTGGAGTTTCAGCTTCAGCATCAGTCCTTCCAATGAATATTCAGGACTGATTTTCTTTAGGATTGACTGGTTTGATCTTCTTGCAATCCAAGGGTCTCTCAAGAGTCTTCTCCAACACCACAGTTCAAAAGCATCAATTCTTCTGTGCTCAGCTTTCTTTACAGTCCAACTCTCACATCCATACATGACTACTGGAAAAACTATAGCTTTGACTAGACAGACTTTTATTGGCAAAGTAATGTCTCTGGTTTTTAATATGCTGTCAAGATTGGTCATAGCTTTTCTTCTAAGAAGGAAGTGTCTTTTAATTTCATGGCTGCAGTCGCCATCTGTGGGAGAAGGCAATGGCACCCCACTGCAGTACTCTTGCCTGGGAAATCCCATGGACAGAGGAGCCTGGTGGGCTACAGTCCATGGGGTCTTGAGGAGTCGGACACGACTGAGCGACTTCACTTTCACTTTTCACTTTCATGCACTGGAGAAGGAAATGGCAACCCACTCCAGTATTCTTGCCTGGAGAATCCCAGGGATGGAGGAGCCAGGTGGGCTGCTGTCTATGGGGTCGCACAGAGTCATACACGACTGATGAGACTTAGCAGCAGCAGCAGTCACCATCTGCATTGATTTTGGAGCCCCCAAAATAAAGTCTGTCACTGTTTCCATTGTTTCCTCATCTATTAGCCATGAAGTGATGGGACCAGATGCCATGATCTTCATTTTTTGAATGTTGAGCTTTAAGCCAGCTTTTTCATTCTCCTCTTTCATTTTTATCAAGAGGCTCTTCAATTCCTCTTCATTTTCTGTCATAAGGGTGGAAGAATGATCTGAGGTTATTGCTTATCTGAAGTTATTGATATTTCTCCCAGAAATCTTGATTTCAGCTTGTGCTTCATCCAGCCCAGCATTTCACATGATGTACTCTGCATAGAAGTTAAATAAGCAGGGTGACAATATACAGCCTTGACATTCTCCTTCCCCAATTTGGAACCAGTTTGTTGTTCCATGTCCAGTTCTAACTGTTACTTCTTGACCTGCATAAGATTTCTCAGGAGGCAGGTCAGGTGGTCTGGTATTCCCATCTCTTGAAGAAGAATTTTCCACAGTTTGTTGTGACCTACACAGTCAAAGGCTTTGGCGTAATCAATAAAGCAGAAATAGATGTTTTTCTGGAATTCTCTTGCTTTTTCTATGATCCAAGAGATGTTGGCAATTTGGTCTCTGGTTCCTCTGCCTTTTCTAAATCCCGCTTTAACATCTGGAAGTTCACGGTTAACATACTGCTGAAACCTCACTTGGAGAATTTTGAGCATTACTTTGCTAGTGTGTGAGATGAGTGCAATTGTGCAGTAGTTTGAACAGTCTTTGGCACTGCCCTTCTTTGGAATTGGAATGAAAACTGACCTTTCCAGTCCTGTGGCCACTGCTGACTTTTCCAGATTTGCTGATATATTGAGTGCAGCACTTTCACAGCATCACCTATTAGGATTTGAAATAGCTCAGCTGGAATTCCATCGCCTCCACTAATTTTGTTCGTAGTGATGCTTCCTAAGACCCACTTGACTTCACATTCCAGGATGTCTGGCTCTAGGTGAGTGATCACACCATCATGTTTATCTGGGTCATGAAGATCTTTTTTGTACAGTTCTTCTGTGTATTCTTGCTACCTCTTCTTAATATCCTCTGCTTCTGTTAGATCTATATCATTTCTGTCCTTTATTGTACCCATCTTTGCATGAAATGTTCCCTTGGTATCTCTAATTTTCTTGAAGAGATCTCTAGTCTTTCCCATTCTATTGTTTTCCTCTATTTCTTTGCATTGATCACTGAGGAAGGCTTTCTTATCTCTCCTTGGTATTCTTTGGAACTCTGCATTCAAATGGGTATATCTTTCCTTTTCTCCTTTGCCTTTAGCTTCTCTTCTTTTCAAAGATATTTGTAAGGCCTCCTCAGACAACCATTCTGCCTTTTTGCATTTCTTTTTCTTGGGAATGGTCTTGATCACTGCCTCATGTACAATGTCATGAACCTCTGTCCATAGTTCTTCAGGTATTCTATCAGTTCTGATCCCTTGAATCTATTTGTCACTTCCACTGTATAATCATAACGGATTTGATTTAGGTCATACCTGAATGGTTTAGTGGTTTCCCCCACTTTCTTCAATTTAAGTCTGAATTTGGCAATAAGGAGTTCATGATCTGAGTCAAAGTCAGCTCCCAGTCTTGTTTTTGCTGACTGTATAGAGCTTCTCCATCTTTGGCTGCAAAGAATATAATCAATCTGATTTCGGTGTTGACCATCTGATGATGTCCATGTGTAGAGTCTTCTCTTGTGTTGTTGGAAGAGGGTGTTTGCTATGACCAGTGCATTTTCTGGGCAAAACTCTGTTAGCCTTTGCCTTGCTTCATTTTGGCCAAATTTGCCAAGACCAAATTTGCCTGTTACTCCAGGTATCTCTTGACTACTTACTTTTCCAACTCCATGTGTAGTTGTTTAAATCTATTTAATTTTTTTTAAGAGAAATAGCATGTGAGGAAAAGAGAGCCTGCAGATGTTTATATTATTTGTTATATTTTCAACAAGTTTGAGTAAGATTACATACATCTTGTACACAGAAGACAATAAGTATCTGTGTGTGTATCTGGAGGTCTCTAAATTATCATAGGATAATGGAAAATTGTGGCT